ACAATCAGGAGGGAATACACAACCTGAGGAGCAAAGAGCTTAGCCCCACGTTGGTTATTCCAACTTTTAAGACTGAAGACAGGAGTCCCCAAAACATGTAGTTCTGAAAACCAACAGGACTCACATTCATGAGACCCACAAGACTAGAGTGAACTGAAAAACAGCTCTTAAAGGGCTCTCACACTGGGGCGCCTGGGTGGCGCAGTCGGTTAAGCGTCCGACTTCAGCCAGGTCACGATCTCGCGGTCCGTGAGTTCGAGCCCCGCGTCAGGCTCTGGGCTGACAGCTCAGAGCCTGGAGCCTGTTTCAGATTCTGTGTCTCCCTCTCTCTCTGACCTTCCCCCATTCATGCTCTGTCTCTCTCTGTCCCAAAATAAATAAAAAAACGTTGAAAAAAAGAAAAAAATTTAAAAAAAAAAGAGCTCTCGCACTTGGGGCCCCCGGGTGGCTCAGTCAGTTAAGCTCTCAGCTGGGGTCATGATCTCATGGTTCCTGAGACTGAGCCCCACGTCAGGCTCCACACTGACAATGCAGAGCCTGCTTGGGATTCTCTCCCTCTCCTCTTCTCTCTCTTCCCTCCCCATTGTGCTCTCTCTCTCAAAATAAATAAATAAACTTTAAAAAGGGGAGGCAGGGGGACACTCACACTTGGACTCACCCCAGGGAAAAGCACAAGAGGCAGCCAGTTGAGAGAGGTGCCCAGACTTCATGTGAAAGAGGCGTATTTTCGGGGCACCTGGGTGGCTCAGTTCATTGAGCGTCCAACTCTTGATTTTGGCCCCAACGTTGTAGGGATTGAGCCCCGCATCAGGCTCTGTGCTGAGCTTGGAGACTGTTTAGGATTCTTTCTCTCTCTCCCCCTGCCCCTCTCTCCTGCTCATGCTCACTTGCACTCTCTCTCCCTCTCTCTCTCTCTCAAAAAAAAAAAAAAATTAAAAAGGAGTATTTTCTTATCTTAAAGTGATGGCCTGAGGCACAAGCCTCTAATTGAACGCACACCCTAGGGGCCTTGCATCTCCAGAGGTGGAAGATGGCTGGCACCATCTTGGCACTGTCCCTCTGCCTCACTGTTCAGCTCACCCGTTATCTCCCAGGAGGGAGCTTATGCCCTCCTCTGGCACACCTCTTCTGGCAGCTCTGGCCTAGGGGGACAACTCTAGGTCACCCGAACCTGGTGCCCAGTGGGGCTTATGCCCATGGGTCCACAGGACTGTAACCAATGTAGAAATAAGCTCTTGACTGGCTACCACCCTCAGGGCACAACAAGAGACAACAGACCAAGGCACTCAGTGTTTCTGTGAAAGAAGCCTATTAGCTTATCTTCATAGCTGCGGCGCGAAGGGCAGGATTGTAATTGAACACACAGGTAAGGGCACACGGTAATTCTCTCCAGAGACCTCAGAGGACGTCATCTTCACGTTCTCCCTCTGCCGTGCTCCACAGCACCAGTATTTCCCAGAAAGGTGCTCCTGCGTGTGTCTCATGTTGTCTTATGCTCACGTTGGTTTTTATGGCTCAACATCCACAAATCTATCAAGGTGACACACATTAACCAAATGAAGGGTAAAAATCCTGTGATCATCCCCATACAGTAAAAGCATATGACCAAATTCAACATCTGTTCCTGACAATAAAAACTCTCAATAAAGTTGGTAAGAGGAAACACCCCGCAGCAAAATAAAGACCATATAGGACAGCTAACATCATACGCAGAATAAAAAGCTAAAAGCTTTTCCTCTAAGATCAGAAACAAGACAAGGATACCCATTATCCTCACTTTTATTCAACATAGTAATTAAAACCCTAGCCAGAGCAATTAGGCAAGACAAAGAAATAAAAGGCATTTTATTTCAAATTAGAAAGAAGCAAAACTGTCACTATTTGCAGATAACATGATCTTATATATAGAAAACCCTAAAGACATCGCACACACACAAAAAAAATTAAGACTAATAAATGAATTCAGTAAAGTTGTATAAATAAATACACAGGGACACCTGGGTGGCTTAGTTGGTTGAGCATCTGACTCTTGATTTCAGCTCAGGTCATGATCTCACGGTTTGGGGGTTCAAGCCCTGCATCGATCTCTGTGCTGACAGTATGGATCCTGCTTGGAATTCTCTCTCTGCCCCTCTCTCTGCCCCTCTCTCTGCCCCTCCCCCACTTCCCCTCTATTTCTCTCTCAAAATAAATAAAAATAAACTTTAAAAAAGAAATGAAATATACAAAATCTGTTGCTTTTCTGTACACTAATAACAAAATATCAGAAAGAGAAATTAAGAAAACAATCCCATTCACAATTGCATCAAAAAGAATTAAATATCTAGAAATAAATTTAACAAAGGATGTGGAAGACCCATACACTGAAAACTCTAAGACACTGATGAAAGAAATCAAATAAGACAAATAAATGGAAAGATATTCCATGCTCATGGATGGAAGAGTTATTATTGTTAAAATGTCCACACTACTCAAAGCAATCTACAGATTCAGTGAAATCCCTGTCAAAATTCCAATGGCATTTTTCACAGAAATAGAACAATCCCAAAATTTGTATAGAACCATAAAAGACCTGGAACAGCCAAGACAATCTTGATAAGAACAAAGCTGGAGGCAACATGCTCCCTGATTTTAAACCATATTATAAAGCTATAGCAATCAAAACAGTATGGTACTGGCATTAAACAGACACACAGATCAATGGAATAGAGAAGAGAGCCCAGAAATAAATAAGCACATGGCAAATTAATCTATGATGATGAGGGGGGTTAGATGGGTGAAGGGAGTCAAAAGGTACAAACTTCCATTTATAAATAAGTCACCCTGCCAAGGCACTCCCTTCATGGAGTACCCTGGGAACCCCCAACCGATGACCCACCTCAGCTCCAGCCACCCTGCCAGGGCACCCCCTGCAAGCAGCACCCCAGGAACCCTAGACCCACGCCCTGCCTCTGCTCCAGCCACCCCCCTCCCCAGGGTGCCTCCTGTGCTGAGCACCCCAGGACATCCTGGCTTGTACTCACTTCAGCTTCAGCTATCCTGCCAGGGCACCCTCTGCATGGAGAGCCCCAGGACTGCCCCGGGCTGCACCTACTTCAGCTTCAGCTGTCCTGCCAGGGTGCCCTCTGTACAGAAAGCCTTACCTGAGGTTCTAGCCTATAGCGTCTACCACCAAATTTGTGAGAAGGCATTCAGATCAGTATTGACCAATAGAAATACGATGCGAACCCCAAATATGGGTTGCATATATAACTAAATTTTCTAGCAGACACATTAAAATCATTTTAAATAAATTTAATATTTAATTTAACCTATATATCCAAAATATCATTTTGATATATAACATAAAAATGACCGAGAGACTTTAGTTTCTGTTTGTCATGCTGCATCTTCAAAACCCAATGTATGTGTTACACTTATAACACATCTCAACTCAGACTAACCTCTTTTTAACTGCTCAATAGCCACTTGTGGCTACTCTACTGTGTCGCCCTTAAATGATTCAACCAGGCAACTGTTAAGTCAATGCCAGTCTTGAGTTTTCCCAGCTGAGACCCAAACTTCACACTGTTAGAAAGTTGTCCCTGCCATGCTCTTTCTGAATTCTTGATACTCACAAAGTCTGTGAGTATAACAAAATGATAACTAAGTTTGGGTGGCTTGTTATGTGCCAGCAGTAACTGGGATGCCAGTCTGAAAGTCTATAATTTATTTAAACGTTTTCCTAATTTAGGTGTTTTTCCCACTTCTTTTCAGGATTTTATTATAAACAATGCTATGATGAGTAATATAAGCTTTGTAAGCTAATCAAATTATTTCCTTGAGAGTGGATTTTCTGGGTCAATGGAAGCATACATTTAGATTGACATTCATGTTGTCAAACTGCTATCCAAAGCTTAACCAGTTTTCACTAATAACACACATATGCCCAACGGTGCTACTAATTAATACTAACCATTTTTAGTTTCTTGAGTTGAATGTTTAGTTCCTTTCCCTTCTGTTCTATAAAATTCATAAATAATCTGGCTTTATCTTATGTCTTAAACTACCACTGATATATTTGTATTATAAAAGATTGAAGTAATGCACAAACTATATAAAAGGGGCCCTACACCACTATATAATTTGGCTTTTTTCCCACTTAAAGTCTTGGTTATCTTTCCGTGTCGGTTAAAAAATTAACCCATTAAGTGTTTATTGATTGAATGATTGCCTTATAATTGCTATGTATTAAATTACTGCATGGTAGTCCAAAGAATGCATGTTATCCTAATTTAACCATTACCCTAGTGATAGATATTATGGTAACTCAAATTGTGCATTACTATAGTGCTCTAAAGACTGCCTTTACTCTTTATTGGATTTTAAGAAGTAGAAATGTTAAGTCAAAGAGTAGAAGCTTTCTAAAAGTTGGCAGATACAGTCAAATTATGCTTCTCATCACCAAACACTTCATTAATTCACAATTCCTTCAACAATATGTAAGTGTGCCTATTTTCTTGCACCCTCAAAAGTACAAAATATTTTCTATCTTATTAATTTTTGCCAAGAATGACAAAAAAAAATCTGATCATTTTAATTCACATTTCTCTAAAGCTGGTTATTTCTTTTGGACTATTTATATTTCCTTTTTCTGACAACTGTACATTCATATTCCAAGCTATTTCTCCACTGGGATTTTTATATTATTTTTATGTACCTTTATGAACCCTTTAGATATTCTAAGTATTGTTTGTTATTTATGATGGTGATAATATTCTCTCCAAGTCTGGCTCTTTGTATTTTAACACCATGAAGCCTATGGTCATACAAAAGCTTTTACTTTTTATGTGGTTATTTATTTTATTTTTATGGCTTCTGAATTTTCTTATTTAGAAAGACAACTAGGTTTAACTATGTTAAATTATACATTAATGTATATGCGATTAAATATTTCAAAAGAAAAGTCAAAGTAAAAATTTCACTTCATCATACCAATAAAAACATTCTTCTCAAAGATAAAAAACTTTTGGACTTTATTTTACTAGATCTTTTTGAATACATAGGATATATACATATAAACAAAATAGCTTCATTTCTTAAAATGTAAATTGGACCACAATATGTAGATTTTCTGCAACTTACTTTTTTTTAACTGGAACAAGGTATCATGGGATATTTCTATGGCTCTCTATAGAGCTCTACTTCATTCTTTTTACTTGCTACATAGTGTTCTATAGTATCTATTTCCATATTGATAAACACTTAGGTTCTTCAAATATTTCACTAATACAAACCATACGACAGTGAACATCCTCACAAGTGAGAAGTTCTCCAGGATAGAGGTACACAGACTATTTTTGTTAAGTGTGTGATTTGTCGAATGTCTCCCCTTTGACGGTCAAAAAGAATAATTACTTTTGCCTGATTTACCACACTAATTACATTTGATGGCTCTTTCTTTGTTATGCATTTTCTTATGTTGTTTAAGGGCTGAACTCTGAGGAAAAGCCTTCCCACATGCATTACATTCATAGGGTTTTTCTCCGGTATGGATTCTCTGATGTTCCACGAGGCCAGAGCTATGTCTGAAGGATTTCCCACATTTCTTACAGTGATAGGGCTTTTCTCCAGTATGAATTCTCTGATGTCCAATAAGGGTTGAGCTCTTCGTAAAGACTTTCCCACAGTCATTACATTGATAGGGTTTATTTCCACTATGAGTTTTCTGATGTCCAGCAAAGGATGAGCTATACCTGAAAGATTTTCCACACTTACTACAGTGATAGGGTTTCTCTCCGGTATGCATTCTTTGATGACTAACAAGTGTTGAGCTCTTCCTAAAGGTTTTTCCACATTCATTACATTGATACGGTTTCTCACCAGTATGGATTTTCAGATGTTCCAACACAGTTGAGTTATCCCTAAAAGCTTTCCCACATTCCTTACATGTAAAAGGCTTCTCTCCACTATGTATTCTCTCATGACGAGTAAGGGCTACATTCTGAGCAAAGGCTTTCCCACAGTCATTACATTTGTAGGGCTTCTGACCGGTATGAATTCTCTGATGACGTAAAAGGATAGAGTTCTTTCCAAAAGCTTTTCCACATTCATTACATTTATGAGGTTTCTCTCTAGAATGAATTTTCTGATGATTAACAAATGTTGAGTGCTTCTTAAGGAATTTCCCACATTCAATACATCTATAGGGTTGCTTGCCTGTGTGGATTTTACGATGATTTAAAAGGGATGAGCTGCTCATAAAGGCTATCCCACATTCGTTACATTTATGGGGTTTCTCACCAGTATGATTTCTCTGGTGGCTAATAAAGGAGGAACTATATTTGAAGACTTTCCCACATTCCTCACATTTATAATGTGTCTTCTCTGCGGAACTTCTGCCCTCCCAGTCCAGGCCTCTCTCCATCATGTCAATTTTTGTTTGTTCTCCCAGATCAGATCCTTCGGAGGTATTTTGCTTTAGGGTGGACACCTTTGTTTCAAACCAGTACTCCTGGACTGAAAAAAATTTTTTTAATTCAAACACTCTCTATGTTGAAATACTGAAAGTGTGAGCTGCACAGGATAAGAATAATGTTCTCTTCTACACAAGTAAGGGTTATGTAAAATTAATTCATCCCACTTGTGACTCTTGCTAAGAAAAGATGGCAAGACTAAAGATAACAGTTAAGTAGGTGTCTAAAGAAATGGCAGGAAGTTATATCATAAACTTTGTATTTAAAGAACGCAAAGAGCATCTAAGAAGTTGGCAAGTTAGGAAGGCAACACAGAACCCGCCCCTCCAAAAATAGATGAGAATGTGAGAATACACACAAATTTGGAGAGAAAACCAAGTATCACAAAGCAAACCATGATTGCTAGCACAGAATCCTGTAGGGTAGTACATGTGAGAACATTTTAATGTCTCCAAGAACTTAAGGATAACATTTCATTGTGAGAATTTAACAGAGAACCAATATTTAATGTATCAGAGAAAAACCAGACAAAACATTTAAGGAACCAAAACAGTTCTCAGGCCTAAAAGATTCTAGACTTTAATCTAAGTTTTTAACATACCTAAAAAAGAACATACCAAATTGTCACTTTTTTGTTGTTGTTACAAAGTACACACACAAGACCCCAGAGAAAATATGCAAGATGATTCTGACAAGCAGATGCCAGAAAACTAATGAAGCCATATTTGTGATAAATCAACAATCAATGATCAATTCTTTTACTGAATGAATTTTTCTTATATACAGATATAGATATATACACACATACACATATATTTATATTTGTATTATTTGTATTTATATTTATTATGATTCCATATATCAGATACTAGAGCTAAGATTTATTTTTTTAGGAAAATGCAAGAAATGAAGCCTGGTGAGTAACAGCCCAGATCCTTCAAATGGCCTTTAAAGGGATATACATTTAATGTATAATGGTTAAACTAGAGAAAATTTCAAGATACTGATTGTAAAGGTAGGTAGAGGCAAATTAGTCATATGAAGAGAAATGCAAGTATATGGACATCTGTTTTATGACAAAAGTAGTTTGCAGAGCAGTGAGGAACATTGGTACTTTTTTGGGAGAGTTAAACATGAACGCTACCTCTTACCATGCACAAAAAATCAGTTTCAAAAGTATGATAAATCTAAAAGGCAAACAATAAAGCTCCTAGAAGTTAACATAGAAGAATGTTTTCATGAACTTGGGGAAAGATTTATTAAAAAGGACACAAAAAGCACTGTCAAGAAAGGGAAGGATTGATAAACTAGAGATCATTAAAATTAAAACTTCTATTCATCAAAAGACCATTAATAATGAAAAGCAGAGAGAAGGGTGATACTGCATATGTAATCAACAAAGGGCTCTCTGAATAGATATTTCGTGAAAGATGATATATAATGGCCAATAAACATTTGCAAATGCCCTCAACCTCATTAGATATCAGAGATAAGGATATTAAAACCACATGAGATACACAACACACCCAAAGAATGCCTAACTTCAAAAGACTGACAATATCAAGCACTGGTAAGGATACGGAAAAATGAGTACTCTCACACACTGATGGTAGAAATATAAATGGTACAAACCTTTAAAAAACTATTTGGCATTATGTAGTAAAGTTGAATATATGCATATCCTATAAAATAGAAAATCCACTCCTAAGTATGTGCCCAGAAGAAATGTATCTACATGTGAACCAAAAGATAACCCATAAAATTGTTCACAGCATCTCTAATATTAGTCAACACCTGGAAATATCCCAAATATCCATCCAAATATATGCAATAAGCTATGGTATAGCAATACAATGAATGAAATACTCCATTTCATTTCATGTTTTCAAAGCATGGTCCCCAGTCCAGTAGCATTAGCATCAGCATCACCTGGGAACTTGGTAAAAATTTTCAGTTCACTCTAAACCAAATAAATAAAAAACTCTGAGGGCTGGGCCTAGTAATTGCACTTAAGCATGCATTCTGATGAATGCTAAATTTTTAAGAATCCTTGGTCTACACAAAGGACAATGAATGAAAATGGCCAAATAAACTTCAGTGTTAGTCTGGGTGGGGAGGGGTTAGGGCAGGGGAACATGGCTAATGATTGGGAGGGATCAGCATGTTATTTAGTAGTATTCCCAGGGTTCTTTTCCTTGACCTGAGTGTTGGTTACATAGTATTCGATTTAAAAATACTATACTAATTTAGGGGTGCTTAGGTGGCTCAGTCAGTTAAGCGTCCAACTCTAGATTTCGGCTCAGGTCATGATCTCATGGTCATGAGGTCGAGCTCTGCATCATAACCAAGAGGCATTTGATACAATTCAACATCGTACTTATTTTAAAATAAATAATTTCTTAATGAAAGAGGTGAATTAAATTTTTTTAATGTTTATTTTTTATTTTTTGAGAGAAAGAGAGACAGAGACAGAGCACAAGTGGGGGAGGGGCGGAGAAAGAGGGAGACACAGAATCTGAAGTGAGATCCAGGTTCTGAGCTGTCAGCACAAAGGGCTCGAACCCACGAACTGTGAGATCGTGACCTGAGCTGAAGTCGCACACTTAACTGACTGAGCCACCCAGGTGCCCCGAAAGAGGTGAATTAAATACTTACTACATAATAACATTCAGGTTTAACCAGCTAAATGGAAGAATCCTAGACACAATCCTATTAGAGACACGAAAAGACTACCATATCCATCATTACCATTATTGTTGACAATACAAAAGCAAGTCGATATAAAACAAACTTTAAAAAAACACATGCTCGACTACACTCCTGATAAGAGAAATGCAAACTAAAATTACAATAAAATTAAAGTTTTTAACTATCAGTTTGGCAATGATCAAAAAGTATAAGACACTGTTGACAAGGTATGATCAGATTGGCATCCATACATTGTCATTAGGAGTATAAATGTATATAATCTCTATGGATACTGGTAATATTCACTGAATTTAAAAATATACTTACCCTTTCACCTACAAATTCTTCTAGAATTTATCCTATAGATTTACTTGTACTTGAGAGAACTGATGTGTATAAAGATAATCACTGCATCATTCATAGTTATTATGTCCATCAACAGGGAACTGATAACATAAGTTACAGTACATCCATAAAATGAAACACTGTATACCCATTAAGAATAAAACAGCACTCGGGGCGCCTGGGTGGCTCAGTCGGTTAAGCGTCCGACTTCGGCTCAGGTCATGATCTCACAGTCCGTGAGTTCGAGCCCCGCGTCGGGCTCTGTGCTGACAGCTCAGAGCCTGGAGCCTGTTTCAGATTCTGTGTCTCCCTCTCTCTGCCCCTCCCCTATTCATGCTCTGTCTCTCTCTGTCTCAAAAATAAATAAACGTTAAAAAAATTAAAAAAAAAAAAAAGAATAAAACAGCACTCTAAATGATGTAGCTATTTGAAATGATTTCCAAGATATTACAAAAGATACACAATACTGTACTACCATGTGCTTTAAAAAAAAAAAGGAATACATGTATATTCTTGCAAAGCACACATTATATCTAGAAATTTCCACAAGAAATTTATATAAGAATGCCTCCAGAGAGAGGAACTGGATGATTAAGAAAGGTATGTGAAGGGAATGCGTGGGTGGCTCAGTTGGTTAAGCATCTGACTCTTGATTTCAGCTCAGGTCATGATCCCAGGATCATAGGATCAAGCCTCACATTAGGCTCTGGGCTGACAGTGTGGAGCCTGCTTGGGATTCATTCTCATTCTCTCTCTCTCTCAAAAATAAATAAACTTAAAAAAATAAATAAATAAAGGTATGTGAAGAAGACTGCATACAATTTGAACCATCTGAATTTTGTACCATATGTATTTCTAAAAACTAAAAGAGTAGAATATGCAGAAAAGGAGGATGAACTGTGAAACATGGAAGGGTTGTGAAATCTTTGTCTAAAGATTTATTAGTCTTCCAAATGGATGGAAGAAATATCAAAGGAAACATTGCTAGTTTTTACTACATCTAAATTCTAAACATCTTATTTCAAAAAATACCAAAATTAAAACAGAAAAAACAAAGAATAAGGAAGACTGAGTTACTACTACTACTGAATTACTCAATAAGGAATCTACACAAAAATTTAGAGGGAAAGGGGGTGCCTGGGTGGCTCAGCCGGTTAAGCGACTAACTTCAGCTCAGGTCATGATCTCCTGGTTTGTGAATTTGAGCCCCACATCAGGCTCCTCAATGACGGTGCAGAGCCTGCTTGGGATTCTCTCTCTCTCCCTCTCTCTCTGCCTTGCCCCCATTTGTGCTTTCTCTCTCTTTCAAAATAAATAAATAAAACTTTTAAAATTTTAGGAGAAAAAAATTAAACATAGTAAGAACAAAAGAATTACTGAAAAGCGTTAAAAAACAAAACAAAACAAAACAGGGGCACCTGGGTAGCTCAGTCAGCTAAACACTCAACTCTTGATTTCGGCTCAGGTCATAATTTCACAGTTCATGAGATCAAACCCTGAGTTGGTCTCTGCTCTGGCAGCATGGAGCCTGCTTGGGGTTCTCTCTCTCCTTCTCTCTCTGCCCTTCTCCTGCTCACACACACATGTTCCCTCTTCCTCTCTCTCTCTCTCTCGCTCTCTCTCAAAATAAATAAAAAAAACATTAAAAAAAACCCAGGTTAAACAAATTATATATACCACTGGTATTTTCCATGAAATATAATTATAAAAGTTTCTCTGAAGATGATATAGGCAAAATGACAATCAGAGTTTTTAAAAAAGGAATACTAGCAAGATAAATGTTGTAGGTGAGAGAAACATCATGTTTAAAGACTTTGAAATGAATTATGATGCAAAGAAAGCGACTTACAGAAATTTATGTAAAGTATACATAGAAAAAAGATGAGAGCCAAGAGCAAAGGATAACAGAGACATTTTAAAAGGGGAGAAAATGCTTCCCCATCAACTTGTTTGCTAAAAATAGTAATTATCTGATAGTTAGGAAACTATGCTTACACTTGGAATCTGCCACTGCCACTATATGATTAAAGATAATGGATATTAAAACCAGAAAAGGATATACAGTCATTTATTAAGCTAACCATGAGAGAATTTGAAAGGAATTGAAAATGGACAGAAGATAGAAACAAAGTACAGCCCGACAAGTGCCTGAAAACAGGGAGGGAGAAAAAAAACACATGAAGAGACTGAGGATTTCAGGCGAGAAGTCATGGGCCTGAGGCCCTCGAGAAGGGAGCAGCTCCCCACAGGCACGGATAGAATGAGGAGAAAAATGGCAAGTCATTTGACGCAGCGATGACATTAAGAGGAGGAAAGCGGTGTCAAGTTACCCCACGAGGCTGCACAGACACGCGCCCTCTGAGGTGAGCCTCGTGACCAACAAGTCCTCCTCACCACTCTGTGCGCTGAGCTGCTGCTTGAAATGGCCCCGCCTCACTCACCTGAACAAGTACCTGATGGAACTTGCTGTACTTCCATCCGTGGCTCTGACCCTTGCTCCAACTGGGTGATTAGTTTGGGTTTGGAAGAGAGAAGCCCTGTTCATAGAAAAACACAAAAGGAATGTGACTATGGTCATGAGCACAAGCAGTCATCCCAGACCTCAGTCTCAGGAAGGTTTCCACATCAGAGAGGCCTAGAGGGTGGTATGAGGATGTCCAAATCATGTCCAAATCATGCTAGTTATTGAAAGGTAGGAGGGAATGTCAGTTAGAAAACCAGGCCTCCTCGGGGCGCCTGGGTGGCACAGTCGGTTAAGCGTCCGACTTCAGCCAGGTCACGATCTCGCGGTCCGGGAGTTCGAGCCCCGCGTCAGGCTCTGGGCTGATGGCTCAGAGCCTGGAGCCTGTTTCCAATTCTGTGTCTCCCTCTCTCTCTGCCCCTCCCCCATTCATGCTCTGTCTCTCTCTGTCCCAAAAATAAATAAACGTTGGAAAAAAAAAATTAAAAAAAAAAAAAAAAAAAAAACCAGGCCGCCTTGAGGATGAGAATTCCTATTGTTGGTGGCAGACAAATCCTGAGATGGAAAATTTAGAAAACTGGGCTAGACAACACACATAGCTGCCATCTTAAACTCTGTATGGCTCGGACTTTCTGAGAGATGGGACTGTGTATAAACTCCAGCCTCTAAATCCATGCTAAAAACAAACAAACTTCCTATTTATGATTTAAATACCCCAAATCATTTACCCTGTGAAAACACACAGTTGCCCAGGAAATCAATTTTGAATTAAAAAGACATCCTTACCCACTGACACCAGATTCCCATAGTTTTCCAGCATCACATCCTTGTACAGGGCCCGCTGAGCAGCATCCAGGTGTTTCCATTCAATGTGGGTAAAGGCCACAGCCACATCCCCAAATGTCAGTGATCCCTGCAAAGTCAAACCCAATTCTTCTCACCAAGGAATGTTTATACCCTGAAGTAGGGAACCAGGAAGTCCTCATCAGAAAAGGAGAGCAACACGTTCAAGGCCAGCTTCTGATACTTCAGCTTGTTTATGCAGAGGGAAGTGGAACACAGTTAACAAAAGGACCAAGGGGGAAAGTAAATGACAAGCTCAGGAAGCAGACTTGCTACCCAGGAACAAAAAATCAAAAGAAGCTGGAAAATCCAGCCAGGAATAAGAGGAGGTCATGGCCCCTCATTTCAACCACACTGCCCTCCTCACGTTCTTCCAACACGCCTATCATGCTCCCTCTTCTGGGCCTGGCATTTGCTCATTCCTCACTTCATAGGTCTTTGCTTAAATGTCACCTCCTCAGAATGTTCTTCGCTTTTCTCCCATCCTCTACCACTCTCCATCCTATGTCCCACTTCACTCTCTTCACAGGATTTCTCACTACTTGGCAGGACTAGATTTATCATCTATAATGTGAGCTCCAGGAGCTTAGGGACCACTTGGGTCACTGTTGTCCCCCTCGCCTAAAATACTGCCTGGAACATAGAAGTGTTCAAGGATTTGTCAGTCAACAAATAAATAGAAACTCCAAAAGGCATGCAAAATGATAGTGGATTTATCCTAGAATTTACTAGGAAATAATATATATTTGTCAATTGCCTTTCACAGCAATAGCAACTTAGTATGTACCACGCACAGTGCTAAGCCCCAAGATAAACACCATCTCTCTGCATTTCTGCCATGATGGTCTATAAAGTAAATCTATTTTATAGCTAAAGATACTAAGGCTCAGAGAGTTGAAAGAACTTGTTCAAAGTCACAGGACTGGTTGACTACAGAATAAAAAGGAGCTTTAAAAAGTGATAGTGAGGGGCGCCTGGGTGGCACAGTCGGTTAAGCGTCCGACTTCAGCCAGGTCACGATCTCGCGCTCCGGGAGTTCGAGCCCATGTCAGGCTCTGGGCTGATGGCTCAGAGCCTGGAGCCTGTTTCTGATTCTGTGTCTCCCTCTCTCTCTGTCCCTCCCCCGTTCATGCTCTGTCTCTCTCTGTCCCAAAAATAAATAAATGTTGAGAAAAAAAAAAAGTGATAGTGAAACTATGGAGCAAATAGGAAGATATTTCATAACATATTAATATGTCATAACATATTAAAACATATTAAAAGGAAAAAATGGATAAGCCTAAAAAATACTTATACAAAAGTGTTTCAAATGAAATAATTTGATTTGTTAGTGCAATAGGAATATGGATCATCTTTAATTTTTAAAATTTTCCTTTACTCTTACTTTGTATAATAGTCAAGTAGGTCTTACTTCCTTTCAAAATGCTAATTTACTTCCTGTCAACTTCTCAAAATTCTTCAAAACCCAGTTTTCTCCAGCATACAGGCAAACTCCAGCCTGGCATTCTAGATCCCAAATGTTTCCAAATTTCTCTGGAATCGTGTTCATGGTTCAGATATAATGGCTTCACTCATGTTATAGCCTTCCCCTAGTCACCCCACCTTCTGCAATTATGCAAACTTAATTTAATCTTCAGGAAGAACTAAACACACCCTGAAGACTGCTCTGACCCCTGAACATCAAGAGAGCACTACCATCATTGTGTCATATCTATCAGCCTCTGTCCTTGTATGATGTGTCTGTCCTTCATCTTCTGCGAGGTGGCAAACTCACTTTGAGACAATGGCTATTCCTTACCTACAAAGTACTCTTCAGTTTCAAGCACTCTAGAAAGCATGGGTAGCAATCATCTATTTAGTGAATGACTCTGTAATGTGTAGAGAGGACATGAAGGGACAACAGTGGGGAGAGGGGTCCTCTCTCCGCAGCGCTGCACCTATCCAGGATTGGGTCAGGGAACCTAATTTGGTCCATACACAGGGCAGAGCACCTTCCAGACAAGCATAAACCCAGCTTCACTTTGAAAGAGTGGCAATTCCTCAGGAAAAGTTAAAACCAAACTTGCCTGGATCTGGGCTCTTGGTAGCCTTGGGGCCATCTGTCTCCTGAACTGTTCTCCCAGGCAAGGGCAAAGAATCCTGAATAAGCCAATCTGGGAAAGAAGAAAGGAAATATGAGGAAGTCCCTCCATGTCCTAAACTAGCTAGAACTTGCTCTCTGCAAGCTGAACAGACCAGTCCTCCACCCTCCCTACTCCGCACAAAGGTGGGTAGACAGGTGAAGGTGGTTAAGATCAGGACTGGCTGCCTGGAGTCCGGCCGGGCAGCAAGCTCCAAGCCAAGCTCTGGCTGTCAGTCAGGAACCTTCGCCAAAACGGGTGGAAAGTCTCGTCGGTGACTCGATCTCTGGGCCTCAGGGCAAGCCTTTAAACTCTCAGGCGCCGGATTGGGGCGGCCATTCAACACAGTACGGCTCATCTGGGTGGGGCCCCGGCCACATCTGCCTGTCCCCTAGTAAACCGGCTCCTTTCTCGGCCCGCCCTGGGGAAAAGAGGGGCGCACCAGGTCTCAGTGCCTGCCTGGCGGCCGCCGTTCCAAAACGGCGCTGGGCGGGCTGGCCTACGAAGCTGCGCGCGCCGAAGAACTGCGACCACCCAAAGCGGTACTGGTCTCCGAGACCCGCGAGCAGGCAGGAACCTCGCTCTACTCACACGGAGGCCGGCAGGGCCGGAAACGGAAGCGGCCGCGGAGCCCCTGGGAAATGTAGTCTCGGATGCAGTCAGAGCTCAGGGTCTCCATCGTATGCCTATGTTGGCATCTTTGGAGAGCTTTGAAAAGTAATGGGGCCATGGTCCCAGCTCCAGAGATTCCGGATTTATGCTCTAGGTATAGTCCTGGCATAGGGATTTTTTAAAGTTCCCAAGTGATTCTGATGTGCAGCCAAGATTGGTACCCAATGCTAGAAACTAATGCAAATCTGTAAGGCATATTTTATGTTACTTTGGGGCAGCTATTTATGATTGATTTGTTCACCTATTGGTTTCAGAGTAATGCTGTTTTGATTTCAAGTTAAAAACAAAAAAAAGCATGTTAGAAAAGCAGAGCACCCAAAACACTAAGATTTTTCTATTTGCTAGCATAGAAGATGGAACAAGATTGGATCCGTTTTTTAAAACTGTGGTTTTTGGGGGGTGCCTGGGTGGCTCAGTCGGTTGAGCATCTGACTTCGGCTCAGGTCATGATCTCACGGCTGCAGAGTTCAAGCCCCGCGCCAGGCTCTGTGCTGACAGCTTAGAGCCTGGAGCCTGCTTCAGATTCTGTGTCTCCCTCTCTCTGCCCCTAACCCACTCACATTCTGTCTCTGTCTCTCTCAAAAATAAATAAACATTAAAAAAAATTTTTTTTAATTTAAAAAATAATAATAAATAAAAAATAAAACTTTTTTTCAGGGCACCTGGGTGGCTCAGCTAGTTGAGCGTGTGACTTTGGCTCAGGTCATGATCTCATGGTTCATGAGTTCAAACCCCACAATGATTTGCTGCTGTCAGCACAGAGCCTGCTTCCCATCCTCTGTCCCCCCTCTCTCTCTGCCTCTCACCTGCTTGTGTACTTTCTCTCAAAAATAAATAAAACACTAAAAAAATAAATGGATACAAATGTGTTATTTTCTAGAAAAAAAATCCTCCTTATACACTCCAGGAATTGGACAGATTAGGAAGGAAAAATGTATCTCTTTTGTTCAGTTAGGACTTGTTATTTGAAAGACTATTTCTCAGAATGGGGCAGTTATTTACTGAATTAATAGTGATTAACCAATGCCCTGCTAAGTGCCACTCACTAGTCTAGATGCTAAGGACAGAGCACTTGACAAGGCCTCCCTCCTTAACCAAACTTTGGTCAGGGTCTTCTCAATCCTCTTCTCAATAAGGCCTTGTCTTTGGCCTAATGAGCCCAATTTTAGCAAAGGATCCCACTAAACCAGTTCATCAAGAATTCCCCCACCCTTGGATCCAATCAAGCTTCTTTTCCCCCATCCTTGATACCTAACTAATTTCTTCCTAGAAATTTTCCATTTACTCCCTCATTGGCTATAAAACCCCATTTGACCCTGTTGTGTTGGGAGTTAAGTTCAAGCTCTCTCCCATATTGCAATGCAATGAAATCTTAAATAAACCCTTCTTTTCAATTCAGTAAGTGTCAGTATAATTTCTCTTTGATGCAGTAAACAAAATAAACAATGTCTCTCCCCTCAAAGATCTTACATTCAGATGGGCATCAGGAAGAGAGAGATTCAACAAAATCAGGGTAAAGAGGTAGGAAGAGGATTCTCATTTAAAATAGAGCTGTAAGGATTGGCACCTTTGATAAGAGATCATATGTTCAGAAGTCTGAAGGAAATGAGGTAACAAGAAGGAGTATACCTGTGGGAAGTCAGATAAAACAGCAGATGCAAAACCCCTACAGAATATGCTTCATTTATTTGAGGAACAGCAAAAGGCCAATGTGCTTAGAACACTAAAAACATAGGTAAAAGCTAGAACACGGGTGTGATGATTAATTATATGTGTCAACTTGGTTGGGCTAAAGGGCACACAGACAGCCGGTAAGACATTAATTCTTGGTGTGTCTGTGATAGCGTTTCCAGAAAAGAGTAGCATTTGAATCAGCAGACTGAGTAAAGAAGATCCACCTTTACTAATATGGGCAGGCATCATCCCATCCTTTGAGAGCCCAGGTGAACAAAAAGGGGAAGGATGAATTCTCTCTGTCTTCTTGAGCTGAGGTGTCCATCTTCTCTTGTCCTCAGACGTCAGAGCTTCTGGTTCTTAGACCTTCAGACTCTGGGACTTCCTCCAGCACACCACCCCCTCCCTTCTCAGGCCTTCAGCCATTGGTTCCACTGGTTCTTGGGCCTTCAGACATAGACTGAATTACAACGCCAGCTTTCCCAGTTCTCCAGCTTGCAAGTGGCAGATCATGGGACTTCTCAGCCTCTATAACCACATAAGCCAACTAATTAATTAAATACACATACTATCATTCTATTTCTCTGGAACACCCTAATACAATGTTGGTCCATTTAGTCCACTGCAAGGATATTGGCTCTAATTTTGAATGATATAAGCCATCAGAATGTGGGGAAATGGGAAGCCTCATTGTTGGTAGGATCATAAAATGGTGTGGCCACTTTGGAAAATAGTTTGGCAGTTCCTCAAAACCTTAAATATGGAGTTACCATATCATTCAGTGATGCCATTCCTAGACACCTACCAAAGAGAAATGAAAATATACATCCACACAAAAACTTGTACACATGTGTTCACAGCAGTGTTATTCATAAGAGCCAAAAGTGAAACAGCACAAATGTCCATCAACTGGCAAATGGATAAAAAGTGTGGTATATCCAAACAATGGAATGATATGTGGCAACAAAAAGGAATGAAGTAGTGATATATGCTACATAATTGATGAACTTTGAAAATAATACTAAGTTAAAAAAAAAAAAAGATAGTCACAAAATACAATGCGATTCCATTTATACAAAATGTCCAAAAAAAGGCAACTTCATAGAGACAGAAAACATATTAATAGTTGCCAGTGGATGGAGGGAAGGAGGTATGGGGAATGACTGTTAATGGGTATGAAGTGATGAGGGGTGATGTTTAAAATTAAATAGTAATTGGGGCGCCTGGGTGGCTCAGTTGGTTAAGCGTCTGACTTCAGCTCAGGTCACGATCTCACGGTCCGTGAGTTCGAGCCCCGCGTCGGGCTCTGGGCTGATGGCTCAGAGCCTGGAGCCTGCTGCCAATTCTGTGTCTCCCTCTCTCTCTGCCCCTCACCCATTCATGCTCTGTCTCTCTCTGTCTCAAAAATAAATAAACATTTAAAAAAAATTTTTTTAATAATAAAAATAATAAATAAAATTAAATAGTAATTATATTAGTTTCCTAGGACTATCATAACAAAGTACCACAAACTTAAGCAATAGAAGTTCATTTTCTCAGTCTGAAGGCTAGAAGCTCATTATCAAGCGAGGCTGGTTCCTTCTGAGACTGGGTAAAATCCTTCCTTGACTCTCCCTACCTTCCTGTGGTTGCTGTCAATCCTTTGCATGGCTTGAATACTCCTGTGTGTGTCTGTCTTCATATGGTATTTCCTCTTATAAGGATAGCTAGTTATATGGGATTAGAGCCCACCCTAATGACCTCATCTTAACTTGATTATATCTACAAGAACCCTATTTCCAAATAAGGTTACATTCTGGAGTACTGGGCATTAGGACTTCAAGTATGAAGGGTGTGGGGGAGGACACAATTCAACACATAAAGCTTAGTTTTATGTTTTATGCTTTGTTCCTTAATGGTTTGCCTTTAATACCTCTAATTTATTTTTAATAAAGTTCATATATTATAAAAGAAAGGATCTAAATTTGTCTCAAATGATTGCATAATTTTTTCAACACCTTTCACTGAAAAGTCTACTCTTTCCTCCAGCAAATCAAATGTCATCATTATCTTATGCCACACTATAGTGTCTCCCAAACACAAGTTTGGGGGATTTCTTAATCTGCGCTGTTTTTCAGAAGCACAGGGCTCAGATAAACTTCAACACTCTCACTATTAATAGGAAGCGGTTAAATAAGTTATAGTAAATCCAAATGAAAGATTACTAGGCAACCATTAAAAATTTCAATGTGGATATAAACATATGTTACATAAATGTGCTGACAAAATTGGGGGGGCCTGGGGTTTTTTTAATTGAAGTAAAGTTGACACACAATGTTACATTCATTTCAGGTGTACAACACAGTGATTCAACAACTACCCATTATGCCATGCTCACCACAAGTAGCTACCATCTGTCACCAAACAAATATTATAATACCATTGACTATATTCCCTGTGCTGTACCTTTTACCCTCGTGATTTATGGACGAAATACTGTGAGTGAAAAAAAATCAGTTTCTAAAAGAGCCTATGTGGCATAATCCCATTTAAGTATCACATAACAATGACATAATGCCAGAAACATGCTCAGCAAGGGCCTACTGTAAAGTATGATTCAACTCATGCCAAGAACCATGCTAAACCTTCTACTTGAATCATTTCATGTAATACTCAAAGCAACCCTATGAGGTAGGTGCTATTACTATTCTCAACAGAAAAAACTTTTTGTTCTAGAAATTTCAAAATATGCACAACATGGGAATAATATAGCCTCCAAGTATCCATAACCCAGATTCACAAATATTGAGATCATGCCTGTTTTAGTTTATCTGTCAATCTCTCCTCGCCTTTTATTGAACTATTTAATCTACAAATAATCAAGTATATATCTTACCTAAGGGCATTTTAGTTTATTTTTTACATTGTATCATTATTACACTTAAAAAATAAATAATAATTTGAGAGATTGAATATACACATGGACAATAGAAAGACCATATATAAAAACAATCTGCAGCAACCAGCTCAGGAAACCAACCCATAATCTACGATAACTAGGCCAGGAAGCCAGTCTGCTTGTAGGCTGACTTGTAAGAAGTCAGAATACCATCTCTAGCAATCAGCCCGGGCAGCCAAACTATCAATCATCCCCAAACAGTCAGGCCTTGATTAATAACTGACAGTATCCCTAAGTTTTGTCCCCACTTCCAATTTAGGATCAGATAAAGCCAAATATGCTCCCCTAACCAATCACATAGGATGCCCTCTTCTACTTAGCCACCTCCAGTTTCCCTGCAATCAGGGCATACCCAAAGCCTTCCTTTTTTCCACTCTAAAGCTTTATCACTCCACTGCCTTTGAATCACAGTCAAAATGCAAGGGATAGTAGCTGACCACCTTGCCATAGCATGCTTATTCTCATTTGGTTGGTCTTCACTTTTTCCACAAATTCTTTATATCTAATATCCAGTCCAAATTCAAATCTTTGTAAGTGTCCCATAGATTTATTTTGTGTCTAGTTTGTTTGATTCAAACGGGAACCCTTCAAGCCAGGCCTGGGTCCTTACAACTTGATGGTAGTAGTCTTTGGAACTTTCTTGCTCTCTGGCAGACAAGTTGTTCCAGGCTTGCTCTATGCTTTGTCATGAACCAGCCATTTCTCCAAAGAGCCCTGGCTTTTTCAGTTTCCTGCAGTCTTTTGGAGTCACCTACAAACTAGGGCTTGTGAAAGAGCCTGTGGAACCTCAGGCCAGTTTCATTGGTATCCTCAGCTTCTTGCTGATGGTTCCGCTCAGAGTGGAGCTCTCTTCTTGGAGGACGGTATTATTTGGTGGCATTTTCTGTGTTCTGGGTTCCAGAACTCTCACGACCTTGGAACAGCTGCTGAAGCCTGATGGTGATTCGACCCACCTCTTCTAGGATCCGTGGGGATCCCCTGATCTTGGTTTTGTTGAAGATACTGTCCAACGGGATGTTTCTCCTGCTATCCTAGTGACTCAGTCCATTTTTGTGAGTGATTTGGGGAATTCAAAAACTGCGGCCATAAGGATCTTGTCCCGCTCCTCGTTTAACAGATGAGAAATGTTTAGAGAAGCTAAAGAATGTGGCCTCAGTGTGCTCATCTGCAAAAACGTTAATAATCTCTGCTCGCCTACCTCCCACGACTGTTATGAGAATTAAATGATATAAAAGAAGTGAAAAGTCAGAAATTCAAGGAGAGGGATGCCACAGAACACAAGGGCAGAAATTCCTGGAACAGCGCCTCCACCTGAAGGGCATGTCTCTAGTGTCTGGGGCCACCTAAAGGTCAAAACTGAGAATAACAGTTACATTAACTTTTACCGCCTGCATTGTGATGTACACCTTCCATGCCTTATTCCATGTAGTTCTCACAACAGCCTGAAAGGGACAGGTTTCCTGAGCCTCATTTTACAGAGGAGGAAATCCAGGCTTGGTGACATTGATAAACTTGCTCGTGATGCCAGTTTTCTGGTGGCAGAGCCTGTATTTACACCCAGGCTATCTGACTCCACAGCCCCTGCCTTTAGCTGCTCTGCTCTGGAGCCTGAAGGGGAGAAGGTGTGGGTTTTCACCGAAATGAGGGAAAGACAGAAGACAGAGGAGAAGGTGAGCCAGGTTATTGAGCTATTGAGAAGCCTGTGCAGCTATTCTCAATATCCTGTTTCACTGAGGTAGGTGACTAAGCTGAAAGCCAGGCTAGCACATTTTTGGGGGTAGCCTCCCAGATTGCAATTGCCCCCTTAGAGTCTTTCAAGGCATTCTTGGAAATATGCCACTCTTCTAGGGTTTCCAGATAAAATTCAGGATGCCCAGCAGCGTCTGAATTTCAGACAAACATTACAAAGAACACACATCTAAACAAAAAAATAAGGCCATTCATTGCGTATCTGAAATTCAAATTGAGCTGGGCATCCTGTATTTTCATTTGCCAAATCTGGCAACCCAACTCTGCCCACCCCACACAGATTTTTTTCTTTTACATTTCTATCATCCTAATACAACATCTAAAAAGCCACAATTTTTTGGTTTAAAGATTTTTAGACCTTTCGGGATACCCTGTGATACACTTAACCTTAGTTTGGGGGGGGACGCTCCTTAAGATGTTATCTACTCATTAGTATCCTTAGTTGGCAGTGGCCGACATCTTAAAGAAAGTCAACAGGTAGAATCTGAAGAAAGGTGAAAGCACAGCAATAACAATCAGGATGAAGAGGCTGCTGGGGGAGGAGAGAGGATTCATAATGCTGAAAACCACTAAAACCCTCACCCCCAGTGCTGGTGGAGCCCTGTGGAGCAACAGCATTGTATGTGACAAGGTACACAGAATATACTCACTGAATGCTTTTGAATGAGTAAGCGCAGGAATGATGCTGAGGTGCATCTAGTAGCAGGAACACTATAATGATAAGTGTCTACCCCTGGATCCCTAGCAAGGCAGCACCAAGAGCCCTTCAGTACTAGGCAGGACTAACTTCCCTCCTCTCCCCTCCCTGCTTGTCTGAGGGCACTTGACCAATTCTCTCCTTTTCTCTGGGCCTCAATTCCCAGTCTGAAAAGTGAAGAAGGCTGGATGAGACCCTCCTTATCACCCTCTTCATTTGTATGGTTCACATTTGAGCACATTCCAGGGACAGCCTGGGAAACAGAACTGGACATATTCTTAGAACTTGTAGGAATCTGGAAGGAGGCAGCTCTGTGTTCCCCTGTTCTAGCCAGGAGCCAACCTGGCTGGGCTCAAATCCACACAGGAGCCCTGACCTCCCTTTTCCAGCTCCTACAGTGATTTCTGCAGCTTTCCTAGGAGTCCACTATGACTGGACCTGCATCTACCACCATTTCTATGTTGGGTTGATCCCTCAGCAGGCTGAACTGGTGAGGCAGGGCCCAAGGGGTCCAACAGAAGTTCCTTTCCTCATCTCTATTCTGGCCTATTATTCCATTTGTGATCCCCTGAAAAGATGAGGTGACAGACAAATGTGCTATAGTGAACGTGTGCCCAATTCAATATCCAAAGTGCTGAGTTTCAATCCCGGCTCTGCCATTTACCACCAGCAGGATCTTGGGCAAGTCACTGTCCCTTTCTCGCTCATCCTCTGTGCCTTCAATTTAAAAATAAGTGAGCAGGGGCACCTGAGTGGCTCAGTCAGTTGAGCATCCGACTTTGGCTCAGGTCATGATCTCATGGCTCATGAATCCGAGCCCTGCATCAGGCTCTGTGCTGACAGCTCAGAGCCTGGAGCCTGCTTCAGATTCTGTGTCTCCCTCTCTCCCTGCCTCTCCCCTGCTTATACTGTGTCTCTGTCAAAAATAAATAAATATTAAAAATTTTTTTCTTAAATAATAAATAAAACAGGGTTGTTAACAGGCAATGATAAACATTGGGCCCTGAGCCCAGTGCAGGGCATCCAGGAGGAAATCAGTAAATGGAAGTCCCTCCACCTTTCTTTCTGTGTGTCTCCCAAGGGCTCTCCAGCTGAGGCCTACAGACTGATGTGCTCCCTGGCCTGTGCTCCTCCAGGTCCCAAGACCACAATAAGCAGAAGATGCAGACCCCAGATGAAGACCTCTCAAGCTTCTTCCCAGAGCATCTGGCCCTGGCCACATGGAGGACTTAGCTGGGCCTCAATGGCCTCAGGGGGCCATACCATAACTGCCCTTCTCTGGGGTCAGGGATGGAATCAGCTAAGGAGAGATGGCAAAAGGGTACTGGATAGGGGTGGGGCAAGACTAAAGTAAGATTGAAAAAAAAAAAAAAGTACCATTAGATACATCCACATAGCCGATCGTTTGACTTGGAAAACAGATACGAACATTCCTGTGAGCCTCAGCCACACTATTTAGGTAAAAAAAACTCCTTACTATATTGTGAGTCCCCTAAACAGGGCTCAAGAAGGACTTCTACTAACAAGTCTGCATTCATAAATGTGACAATTTGGAAGCACTGAACAAGCTCCCTGAAAACCACAAACTACAAAAACAAAAACAAAAAAATAAAATGATCTGAAGAGTCATGTGACTATTAAAGAAACTTAACTTGTAATTTAAAATAAAAGGAAATCTCCAGGCTTACATTGTTTCACTGGAGAAGTCTATCAAACATTTAAAGAGGAATTAACATAAATTTTATGCAATCTCTTCCAAAAAATAAAACAAGAGGACTATTATTTCCCAGCTCACTTTGTGAGGCCATAATTAGCCTGATAACCAAAACCAGACAGCATCAAAACAAAACAAAACAAGGGCACCTAGGCTCAGTCAGGTAAGCACCCGACTTCGGCTAGGTCATGATCTCATGGTTTGTGAGATGATCTCATGGTCAGCACAGAGCCTCCTTTGGATCCTCTGTGTCCCTTCCTCTTTTTGCCCCTCCTCCACTTACACTCTCTCAAAAATAAACAAACATTAGGGGCGCCTGGGTGGCGCAGTCGGTTAAGTGTCCGACTTCAGCTCAGGTCACGATCTCGCGGTCCGTGAGTTCAAGCCCCGCGTCGGGCTCTGGGCTGATGGCTCAGAGCCTGCAGCCTGTTTCTGATTCTGTGTCTCCCTCTCTCTCTGCCCCTCCCCCGTTCATGCTCTGTCTCTCTCTGTCCCAAAAATAAATAAACGTTGAAAAAAAAAATTAAAAAAAAATAAACATTAAAAAAAAAAACTACAAACCAATATCTCATTAATTTAGATGTAAAAATACTCAACGAAATATTATCAAATCAAATCCAGCAAAATAATAAGAGGATTACACACCTCAGCCAAGTGGAATTTATTCTACATATGCAAGATTGGTTCAATACTTGAAAACCCATTAGTATATAATCTACCATATCAATATTAAAGAAGAAAAATATTAAGATCATATCAATTGATATAAGAAAAAGCATTACATAAAATCCAACAACTACTCATGGTAACAATGCTAAGCAAACTATGAATAGAAAGGAATTTCCTCAAATTGATAAAGACCTAAAGTAACACCAAAGTTAATGTTAAAAGTTCAAATGCTTTCTCCCTAAGTGGGGGGGGGGGGGGGGCAGCCCAGGATGTCTATTCTCATCAGCTTGTTCATCATAGTGCTGGAAATTCTAGCTCATGCAATAGGTCAGAAAAAACATAAAGGGAATATAGATTGGAAATAAAGAAGGTAAACGATTTCTAATTGTAGATGACATAATTCTCTATGTGAAAAATGTCAAAAAAGCATTTAAAAAAGAAAACCCTCTGGGGGCGCCTGGGTGGCTCAGTCGGTTGGGCCTCTGACTTTGACTCAGGTCATGATCTCATGGTCCATGAGTTTGAGCCCCCTGTGGGGCTCTGTGTTGACAGCTCAGAGACTGGGGCCTGCTTGGGATTCTGTGTCTCCCTCTCTCTCTGCCTGTCCCCTGCTCACGCTCTGTCTCTCTCTCTCAAAAATAAATAATGATTTAAAAAAAAATTTTTTTAAAGAAAACCCTCTGATAAGCACTAAGTTCAGCAGAGTCTTACACAAGATCAGCACACAAAAATTAATCAATTTTCTATATACTAAACAATAAATATGTGAAATCTGAAATTAAAAACACAATATCACTTATAGTATAAGAAAATTAAATATTAAGGTATAAACTTAACAAAACACATACAGGATCTATATCCTGAAAATTACAAAATTTATTTATGTAAGATGCTGCCATTAGGAGAAACTAGGTGAAGGACACGGGGACTTCCCTGTACATTTTTTCCAACTTCCTGTGAATCTATAATTATTTCAAAATAAAAATTTTAAAAATACATGAACTGAAACAAATTGGGGAATAATAATGTGTTCTCGCACAGACAATAATGGGTGAGTGTGAGCACATGCTATGTATGAATGTGGTTGTGTGGGAACATGCTGTGAAGGGGTACAGATTGTGTGTATGTATATAGTTTGTGTGAATGAGTATGGGGTATATGTTTGTAGGCAGGCTGATCACTGTCAGCAGAATGCTGTTCAACACACATCCCAAGGTCCCAGCACCACCCTGGGAGGAAATTCTCCAGGGATCATTCTCCGGGGATTCTAAACTGCACAGAACACAAGGTGAAGGTCTTTGTCCCCCTAACAACCCCGCCTGAGGCCCCTCAACTCATCCCTACAAACACCTCCTGACATTTTCTAAGTATAATGCACCATAATTCGGTGAGAGTTACCTTCAACCATCTAGAAGCCTGGAAAGTTTCTGAAACACTTTAACCCCCTTTGCCTTCCTGGGGGTTTCCTCGAAAAGGGCTGTGGTTACTGGGTCCCTTTCATAAATGAGAAAACCAAGTTTTCAAGGGGAAAATTATTTGGAAACACAGGGGAATAATAAAGGGAATCAAGTGTGAAGAACACGTGCTCTGGAATATTCAGAAAAAAAATCTGGACTTGAATCCATACTTTACCCTTATGATGAGACACTGAGTATGCTTCTTGAAACTTCTAAAATGTAAAAGCTGCAAAATGGGGTTACACCACCCTCCCTCGACAGTTCCTGGAACATCGTAGGCCCTCATGTTTGCCATATGAATGAACTTTGGAGCCAAGACGGTGAGGCCAAATAGCATATATTCATTTCAAAATATTTTTAAGGGTAAAGACAAAATTACAGGTGATATCTTTACGTTCTTTTCACACCAGTAACACTTCAAAAACTAAGAACACTTCAATGGGTATTCCTAAAATAACTGACACACTTGTAATAAAAAAATAATAATAATAAGGAGTGCCTGGGTGGCTCAGTCGGTTAGGCCTCAACTCCAGCTCAGGTTACACTCTCATCCTTTTTGAGCTGGAGCCTACGTAGGGCTCTGTGCTGGCAGCTCCAACCTTGGAGCCAACCTCGGAATCTTCTCTCCCTCTCTCTGTCCCTTCCCCTCTCACGCTCTGTCTCTCTCTCTCTCTCTCTCTCTCTCTCTCTCTCAAAATAAATAAACATTAAAAAGTTTTTTTTTTTTTTTTAATAATAATAAGGTAACTTAAACAAACTAGTCTCTAACCTCGAAGGACAGCTACCCACTGAACCCCCGCAGCCGGGAACTGGCCCGGACCTTCGCCGGAAGTGTGCGCCGGAAGTGGGTACGACCGGCCCGCAGCTTTCTGGGACTTGTAGTTGGGCGCCCTTAGGCGCGGGCGCGGGTCAGTGTCGGGAATACTGCGCTTGCAGGTGTAGGATTCCACGTGGGAGGTGAGACGCGCAGGACAGGCAACGCTGCGGGCAGGGAGGCATTCTGTGGTTGGGAGGTGGGAGTGACGCGGTGGTGGCGCAGGACCGCTGAGACCCGAAAGCCTGGCGGGGCGGCTGTGAGAGGGCTCGCGACCAAGAGGAGGTGCGGCCCGGGACCGCACGTGTGGGGATGTGGGGGTGTGTGGGGAGGGGGTGGAGGGGTGCATGGGGGGTGGGAGTCGCGACCGCCTCTGTGTCCGCCTAGCCGGACCGCGATCACCTGACACTAAACGGCCCCAGCGCAGAAGCGGCTGCGGCTCCGAGGGGCCCATCTCTCTCGCCCGGCTTAGCTCTGGCATTGGCCGGCCTGGAGGCTTCGAAGTTGGCCGTACCGGCCATTTCTGTGCCGGTGACTGGCCTTATTCCAGGGTTTGCGGTGGATGTTAGGCGACCGAGAGGGACCCCTCTGAGAGACCTAGGTTTCTGTCCCCACAGCACTGTCCTCACACCCCAGAAATGAGGCAGGTCGGGGAAAGCGCCTCGGGGAGTGGAAATCCATTCTGAGGCAAAGCATCCAAGCTGAGAGCTCCTACTGCTCTTTCTAGAACTTCAGGACTGAAATCAGAATCCCTGAGGAAAGGGACACATCCTAGTGTTGCTGGGAGCAGCGGGATTTACTTACCTTCGTGGGTTTGGGGGAGAGGGTTGGCCTGTTCAATCCAAAGCCGTGTGGAGAGAGGTGAGGGAGGGGCAGCACGGAGAGACTAGAAAGAAAGCTCGGGAGATGGCGTGGGAAGGGCTACTGAAGAGGGGTTAGTAGCAGGAGCTCAGTAACTTTTTTCCTACAGTCTTGCTGGACTGGCTGGTCTGTACCCTGCAAGGTGGACTTGATTTTCATGGCTGTTTCTCTTTCCCTGACGCCACTTTTCCAGGACGGTGACCTTCCAGAGAGGAGGAAATGACCTAGTGCCAGGTTGGTGAGTTGGGGTTTCTTCTCTGTGAAAATGCCATCTCTCTGAGAATGGACAGAACCTTTCTAGCTTGGAACAAAGAAAGAACATTAGCATGAATTGGGTGCTCATCTGGTGTCAGGTCCTGTCTTTGTTCTGTACGATCTTTTTATTGTCAGACGTCGGTGTGAGACCTGAAATATTGTATACATATGGGTGTAAGAACATTAATATGCTAAGGGCATATAGCTACCAAATGATGTCGCCAGAGTCCTCACAGGTGGCCGCTTACTTTAAATTCCACATCAGTTTTCACTGAACCACCCTAGCTCCATGAACTTGGCCCACTCCCCAGAGCACTGCGCTGTGCTCTCCCATTGAAAGAGTCCACACAGCGTCTTTGCCTGGTCCTCTCTCAAAGCCTCCCTTTTCCTGCCAAGGCATTTCACTCGCATTGAAAGTTATTCAGAGTTCTCACCTGTTCCAGCCAGTGCTAAGTGGTGTCAGGAGAACAAACAGAATTATAAATTGTGGTGCTTTTCTGCATGAGCACATTCTGTGTGTGAAAGAATACACATCTTAATAATAACCATTTATTAAACATTAAAAAGTTTGGTAAATGCCAGCACAGTTGTTACCAAATCACTCCCAGTAATACTTCTTAACCAAGCTGTTCATCAGAGTTACTGTGGTGGTTTTTAAGAATTCAGATTCATAGACACTACCCTCACCCCAAACCTACTAAAAGGAGAGTTTCACTTTTTTTTTCTTTAATCTTATTGGCCTCTGTACATCCAAAGATTTGTTGGATTTGTTGTGAGATATATCTCTATAAACTTAACATGAGCGTCATTAAGGTAGGTAAGATGGGTTATTTATCTTTTATGCTCTGGTTGCTTTGTTCCCTTCACCAACATACCTACATGTTTAATTGGTCCAATAAATTGTTAAATTACTGAGTAGTACTTTTGTAAAAACTGATTTCTCATTTGTCTCCATAAAACCATTCCTCAAAAGTTACCTCGAGGTTAACACTTAGAATCATAGAATGTTTGAAATGGGAGGGGTCCGCCAGCCCCCTCTCTGCCTTGGGACTGGCATTTTACAGAGAGCTCTAAATCTGAGGGAGCTGAAGGAAAGCACCATGTCCCCTGTTGCAGAAGCAGCAGAGTCAGAAGGAAACCCCATGTCTTCTAACTCTATGCTCTTCCCTCTCCATAACTAAACAGGTGAATTATATCAGAAGTTACTTGAATAAAATATCAGGCTGGATTTTAAGGAAGAAGTAATTGGTTCTTTGCACCACCACCAGAAAGACCATCTTTTTGCTTGGCAAATACAGTTCTTAGGTACATAGGAAGAGACCGTGAGCTCTTATAAAGATCTGTTTAGAGGACAGTAAGCTGCCCCAACGTCCTAAGAGCATGCCATCTCTGTGCCTTGAAAAGGAATTGAGGACTTCAAGGGAAATTAATGTGAATGAAACCCTGTGCTCTATATATTTTCCTTCCTTTTCCTCTACCTAGGCCCTGATGAAGATTATTTATCATGAAGTTGGGAATTGCTAATATAGTGGAATTTTGAAATTCTGGTATATATTAACAACTTTTGAATTTATTTATTTTTTTTTTAATTTTTTTTTTCAACATTTATTTATTTTTGGGACAGAGAGAGACAGAGCATGAACGGGGGAGGGGCAGAGAGAGAGGGAGACACAGAATCGGAAACAGGCTCCAGGCTCCGAGCCATCAGCCCAGAACCTGACGCGGGGCTCGAACTCACGGACCGTGAGATCGTGACCTGGCTGAAGTCGGACACTTAACCGACTGCGCCACCCAGGCACCCCAACAACTTTTGAATTTAAAGAAAGACTTTATTCCACCAATATTTATTGAGTGTTCTCTTATGTACCAGACATTGTCCTTGAGTCTGAAAGGCAGGAGTCCCAATTTAACCCCTCCCTCTGTGACCTTGAGTAAGTCACTTCACTATCATGAGCCTTGGTCTTCTCATCTGTAAAATTAGAGTGTTTACCTTGATGATCTCAAAGTTCACGTATACTTGTATCTTTTCATCATTCATTTAAGTTGAATGTGAATTTGTAACTATCGTTTAGATCCCTAGTCAGTTGTGCTAGTTGCTGGGGATTTAAAGATTAGTTGAACATGGCTCCTATCCTTTAGAATCTTGTAGCCAATTTGGAAGACAGACTTTATAGCTATGGTAGAGATATGTGAAAAATACTATGAGATCTTGAAGGAAGAGGCATTTAACTTATCCTCACGCTTCAGAAAGGCAGTTGTTGATTGTCTTGAAACTGAAAGGAGTTGCAAGATGAATGGAAGAAATAAGTCAGGACAGAAGCAGCATGTAAAGGGCTATTCTAGATTACAGCATGACATTTGGTTAACTGCAGGTAATCTAGTCTGACGACAGCACTTGTCTACCTCCTGACTTCTGCATTACTGTTTTCCTGCCTCTGAGTAAATTGTTGGATCCAGCAAGGATGGGCTCTGGAAAGGAAGTGGAAAGTTACATGATATAAATAGTTTTAAGGAGTTTGACATTTGTCAGGTGGGAACAGGAAACTGCTAGTCCCATGACCTTTCCCTTTGGTTAGCCTTCAGGATACTGAGTCTACCTTGGGTGTAATTCATTAGCTCCACTGATATCAGGGGAGACTGTTCATTATTCAGATTCCTTCCCCCAGCTTTGTCTTTGGCAGAACCACTATTTTCTTTCCCTTTATCACACTGATACCTTTCATGTGGCCCACTGTCCTACCATTTCTTATCCCGGAATCTTTAGTCTACTGCAGAGTTAGTAGTCCATCAACATATCCTTTCCATTCTTGACATGGAATTCTCCCCACCACTTTATCTGTGGGATCTTAAAAAATTAGTAACTCAGTCTTTCAGTCTCTGGATTGAAAAATGACAAAACTGGTATTTTAAAGACTTGGTAAGGATTTATTGTGGTCTAGAATAAGAAACGGGGGCCTTACCTACGACGGTGGCAGTGAAATAAAGAAGAGGTAACACTTTGAAGGGAGATTTAGGAGAGAAGAGTTCATAAGATCTGAAGTGGTTTGAAATTGCTGAGGTAGGGCGGGAGTCTTAGACCATCCGGATGACTGAGTGGAAGGAAGATGGTTAAAAAATGAAAGGGGAAAAAAGATAATTGATGGACTTGAATTTCAAAAGGAAGAAGATTGAATCTAGAATGCGACGGGAGAGGTTCCCTCATACATAAAGAAACCTTGTTCTCTGAGGTTGAGAAGAAAGTCTGGTTGAAAGGAGTGGCTAATCCTAATGCTTGACGTTCCCCCGGCCCCTGTCCTCACGGGTGTATGTATGGCACCCTGAGGCAGCAACCTCCACTTCTGCCGCTTTTCTTTCCCACCTTCACGCAGGAACTTGCAGGCTTCTTGAGCCCAATCTCATCTCTCTCTCTCCTCAGATACAGTGGAGACCTGAGAGCTTGGGAGGAAACTGCTGCCTTCCCTCATCATTACCTTCCACTGGTGACAAGTAGGGTAGTCCTATCGTTCCTGCAAGCGGCCTGGTTGTCTTCAGTTTCCTGAGGCACGAGTGGGTAGAGCCCCTTCAGCCTCAGGCCTGAGGTGTTGGAGTTCTGAAAGTTAGCAGGTTCTTCCCTGGCCCAGAGTTGAGCTGCTTCTGTGGCTTCACTTCGTTCTCATTTTATGTATATTCTGTCAGTCTGCTTTTTAGGTGTGGCCTGTAGGCTGGTGGCAGCCCACAGACGGCTTGTTACCAGTCTGCAAAGACACAAGGAGAGACACTGAGAGTGTTTAAAATAGTTCAATATTTTAATAATAATTTAATAATTTAAAAATGGCTTCGGTATTTTCTATGTCTGGGTTTTTATTTTCTAGTAACTCTTTTTTATTGTATTTTACAAAAATGTGACAAGTCTGACATATTGGAAACTTTTCAAAAGAAAGTATTCCTTCACCAGAGGTAATTTGAGAAGTGTTGCTCCATCCACAGAACTCTGGAAGGAACCAGAGTCACTGTGAAGTTAACTAAATAAATGTTTGGACGCCTGTTAAATGACAGGCATTGCTTGAGGATGCAAGGATCAGACGCCTCTCTGTTCTTAAGTAACATATATCTTAGTGGGGAGAGATGGTAAATAAGAAAGCAAATGAATAAATAAGAAAATGAGATAAGGCATAAGTAGTGCAAAGAAATGAAAACAAAGAGAAGTGATAGTTTCTGGATGCTACTGTGGATTACACCATCAAGGAAATGCTTCTCTGACAGCGGTCGTTCAGCTGAGACCTGAATGAAAAGGAACCAGGTGTGTGTGGATGTGGGAAAAGAATGTTCTGGGCAGAGGGGACAGCCAGTTTAAAGGCCCTAAGTTGGGATAGGTTTGATGTTGTCAAGGACCTGCAAGGTCACTGCGGCCAAGTATGACATGTAGGGAGGAGTGACTTGGGTTGAGGTTGGAGAAGTGACAGGACCCCAGTCTGTGAAGCTTTGCAGACTAAGATGAAGGGTCTGGATTTTACTCAATGTCTGTTGCAAACCTTTGGAGGGTTTCCTGCCTGATGTGATGTTTTAAAAGATCACCCTGGCTACTATGTGGAAAATTCATTGTGTGCGGTAGCAAGTGTGGAAGCAGAGAGACAAATCGGGAGGTTGGTACAATTCAAACTTAATATGGCTGTGCTCATAATCATAATCTCCAAGGTGGAGAGAAATGAGTAGATTCTGATGTGTTTTAGAGATAGAATCGATAGGACTTGGTATGGATAAAATGTGAGGAAGAGAGGAGAGAATCAAAATGACTTCTAGGACTTTGGCTTCAGCAACTGGGTGGGTTGTGTGGTCATTTACTAAAATGAGGACCCCCTAGGCAAAAGCAGATATTGATGGAGATTTTTAGGAGCAAGAGTTCCACTGGGGCCTATTAAATTTTAAATGCCTCCTAGACATCCAAGTGCAGATGTTAAGTGGGATTTGGAGTGTAGAGGTAAGGGGAAACATTGCTGGGAATACCTAAGGATAGTATTTTATGGTATGTGTGTATGTGCTATTTTCTTTTTTCCAGGAACGTTCAACTACTTAGTTTAGAAGTAGAAAGAACATGATTGATAGGACTAGGGAAAGACTTGAAATCAGAAGTATACTTTGGGGGGGAAAAAAAGAAGTATACTTTGGCTGGGAGGAAAAAAAAAAGGAGGAGTTAGCAGGTGGTGCTCTTGATAAAAGAGGTGTGATGGAAGAGAAAGAACAGGAAGATGTTTTTAAAGAGTAGGATAGTAAGAGATTAATATTTCAAAAGCAGGGTGGTCCATATAGCAAAATGGCCCTGGTTATGGTTATTGAGTTTGAAGAAATGAGGCAGAGATGATTAGCACTAAAGTAGCTAAGAAACGTGAAGTTAGAGTGTTTAGCAAATTGTTCTCTTGAGTGTTGAGATTATCAGGATAATGATAGGAATGGGTGGAAAAGACAACTCAGCAATGTCATGAGATGACAGTGACAAGGAAAGATTCAGTAACTGGACAGCTTAAGCTTGGGTGAGTTATGGACAGGAAGGGAAGGATTTGGATAAAAATAGCAAAGTGGATGAGAAGAGAAAGTTGTTCCAACAAAACTTGACTTAAATGACTCATATCCCTGAACTATACTCTTCTGTACCCTTGTTGTCCAGTGCTACCAACCCCACATTCCTTCCAAGGCATTTGTGCAAATGGTTGCCAGTCGAGGAGAAATGTGCTAAATGTTTTAGAAGCTAGTAACATTCAAGGATGTTTCTTGGGGCTTCACTGAGGAAGGGCAAGGCTGTCTGGACTCTGCTCAGAGGAAGCTGCACTGAGCTGTGATGCTGGAGAACCACAGTTGGTCTCCATAGGTAAGAACATGAGCCTGGACACCTGCCTATTAGAATCTTTGTTTCTTCAAATTTAAATAGTGATGGGGCCCCAGGGGTGTAGTTTAGGAATTGATGTTTCCTAAATTTTTTTTTTTTTTTTTTTTTTTTTTTTGGCACAAAGGATGTTTCTGATTATTCTATGCAGCCAAAGAATTTGGCTTGTTAAGAATTGGAGAATGTAGGGGCGCCTGGGTGCTTCAGTTGGTTAAGCATCTGAATCTTGGCTTCAGCTCAGGTCATGATCTCACAGTTCATGAATTCGAGTCCACATTGGGCTCTCGTCTGACAGTATGGAGCCTGCTTGGGATTCTCTCTCTCCCTCTCTGCCCCTCTTCTGCTGACATGCGTGCTCGCTCGTTCTCTCTCTCTCAAAATAAATAAATAAACTTTAAATTAAAAAAAAAGAATTGGAGAATGTAGCTTTACTGAGTCATCTTAAAAACCATACCCCTTATAAAATCATCCCTTGGGACTGAATTTGCTTTCTGTACAGTTACCCGATCCTTCTTGTCTCCCAGTTGTGATCTCTCAGACCAAGGTGAAGATCATTATATAATGGAAAATAAACTCCAAAGGAATCAGTTAGGCATCATGGCAGATTATAAGCCCAGGCTAATTCATGAAAGAGGAGTCCCTTTTTTAATATTCCCGGAGTTCTTTCTGAAGTTCTCTGGTCTGTGGAGAAAGCTAAGGCCTCAAAGGATAGTCTCCACATACTGATCTCCCTTTTTCTAGTCACTTACTCCCCCCCCTCCACGGCTTCCTTTTCAGAAGTTTGTGGTCTTTCCCATTTACACTGACCTTCTTATCTGAACTCTTGTCTTTTCCCACATTTTCCCCACATTGGCCTTGTACTATCTCTGCTTGACTTTATTTTCATTAAATATCCCTTGCCCTACAATGTCTAGTTTCCATTGCTTCTTTTCTTACACATTCAGGGATTTATCCATCTCCCCTTCTGAATAGAAGAAAATACTTTTGATGAGACAAAATTTCATACCATAAAGTAAAATATGGATATAACTGACAGTTTTTCTCAAAAAACATTTTGACTGCTTAAATCAAAGAAGTTAAACATTTTTGATATAATAATTCATTTTTAGGTATCTACTGTAAGGAAATAATCAGTACTCCAACTGAAAATCATGGAGAATGATAAGTCATTATAGAATTATTTAAAATACTGAAGGGGCACCTGGGTGACTCAGTCAGTTAAGCATTCAACTCTTGATTTTGGCTCAGGTCATGATCTCACGGTTCATGAGTTTGAGCCCTGCACCAGTCTCTGTGCTGGCTGTGCAGAACCTGCTTGGGATTCTCTCTCTCCCTCTTTCTGTGACCATCCCCACTTGTTCTCTCTCTCTCAAAATAAATAGATAGATAGATAGATAGATAGATAGATAGATAGATAGATAGATAAAATGAAATAGTGAAAAAATTACTCACCAAACATATCAGAAGGTGTTGGTTATACAAATTATAGTGGAACATATAAGAGAAAAATGTGTACCCATTAAAAAATTCAATGATAAAAAATTTTTAGGGGTGCTTGGGTGGCTCAGTCAGTTGAGTATCTGACTCTTGATTTTGGTTCAGGTCATGGTCCTAGGGTCATGGAATTGAGTCCGATGTGGGGCTCCATGGAGCCTGCTTAGGCTTCTCTCTCTCTCTGTCCCTCTCTCCCACTTGTGTTCTGTCTCTAAAATAAAAAAAAAAAATTGTTTTAAATAATTTTAAATGTTTATTTATTTTGAGAGAGAGAGTGAGCATGGTGAGGCGGAGAGAGGGAGAGAGAGAATCCCAAGCAGCCTCCACACTCAGCACTCAGTGTGGAGCCTGACACAAGGTTCGATCTCTTGAACTGCTAGATCATGACCTGAGCCAAAATCAAGAGTTGATGCTTAACCGACTGAGCCACCCAGGCGCCCCCACAAAAGGCTTTTTCACAGATGTAAGATACATATATACTTACTAGATTAAACCATGTGAAATTGCCATCAATCCCGTAGTAAAAACAGACATTGTACAAAACCACCAAAAAGAAATAGCCTGTAATAATGGCTATCAGGGTTTTTTTCCTGCCTCTGTCCACATGGTTCTCTTCCCTCAGTGACTATGGCTCTTGAACCATTATTTTCAACTAAACCTGTGAGGCAAGCACCACAGAGTGAAGAAGTCCCTGTAAGTAGTGAGAGGCCTGTGCTTTCATTTTCTTTATATAAACATAATGCCTGTGCTCTATGCTTCCAGTTTCAGTCTCAATGCTAGGTCAGTCTAGTTTTAGTATAGTATCTCAGTATAGTTTCGTATGGTATCTCAGTATAGTTTTAATGTTTATTATAATATACTGCTAATTTTCAGTTTATCAGTATTTTATATTTTATATTGACTTATTTAAATCATAAATGAGGATTTAGCTCTTTTACATTATTTTCCCCAACATTCATCCACGATTAATGCTTACATTGCTTTGACTTCATAACGCTTGTTCCCTGCAGGGTAAAGTAGTGTACTATAATTACAGTTCCTTTTTTTTTTTTTTTTTTTTTTTTTTTTCCTTTCCTAAAGCTAATGCTTGCTTTTTAAAGTATTTTATTTGGGGTGATTTTCCATGCTGTTTTATAGTGGCTTGGTTAATTATTATAGTTTTCTCTTATGTAACAACAGTCGATTCAACTTAACTGTCTATTTTATTGACTTCTTTGCTCACTGCGATTTCTTGTATTGTGTATCATCTTCTTCACAATCACTTTTCCTCCAAATGGAAGATAATGCTCAATTATTTCAGGCTTCCAGTATTGTTTATTGGTAGTTCGGTGTTAATATATTAATTCTCATTTATTTGCACACAACCTGTCTGGATTTCTTTCTGGATGGATGCTTTTGTGTTTTCTGGTATTTTTTTTTTCCTTGAAGTCCTGAAGTTTCACATACAATTTTTAGCATTCAGTGAGCACTGAATTGTGAATTCTAAGAAATATTTTTATCTGTTACTGCTTTGATCATTTCTCTCCCTCCCTTCAGTCTTCACCATATTCACGGAACTACTACAAAATGGGCTTTTAGGGGCGCCTGGGTGGCGCAGTCGGTTAAGCGTCCGACTTCAGCCGGGTCACGATCTCGCAGTCCGTGAGTTCGAGCCCCGCGTCAGGCTCTGGGCTGATGGCTCAGAGCCTGGAGCCTGTTTCCGATTCTGTGTCTCCCTCTCTCTCTGCCCCTCCCCCGTTCATGCTCTGTCTCTCTCTGTCCCAAAAATAAATAAACGTTGAAAAAAAAAACAAAAAACAAAATGGGCTTTTACTTTTATCTTTCCATCTGTCTCTTTTTTTACTCTGCATTCTAGGAGAATCCCTCAATCTTCCATCTTAGCCATGTATTCATTTTGCTTCTCGACCCATTGAGATCGTAGACCTTAGGATCAGACAGCTTGACGGTAGCTGTGACATAAGTTACTTAACCTTTTCAACCTTGGGTTTCCTCATGTGTAGAATGGATGTCATAAGAGTTCCTCTTACATAAGATTGTGCAACTAGTGCCTGAGTATTTCAAATGGGCATGACAGGGATAGTTGTAATCCTTTTCAGTCCTTTTATTAATTTGAAAGAATTCTGATTATTTTTCATAGCAATGTGTTTATATTTTATTAGATTATGTTGTTTTTCTAGATGCGATATCCTCTCAGATTTCTCTGGGATTTTAATGACGTACCTTTTAAATTCTGTTTCCTCTGGTCATTATTTCTTGAGTTTATGCCAGTCTTCATTTATGTTAGTTTTCTGCTTTTTTTTTTTTTTTTTTTTTAGTCTGCTTATATTGTTTTTATTGTCTCATTTTTTTTTTCAAAAGGCTTATGTTCACAGTATGACACTGGAGTATGTATCCTCAGCTGATGCTTGGCCCTCTTTGGTGCATGCATGCTGTACTTATAGAGGACACCTCTGCTGATTGGGTTTGAGACAGATATAAGAATCCAGATGGTGGGTGGTTGTAAACCCCTTTTTTAAGGTTGCCTTTTCAGTGCAAAATTACCTGGGATGTGCCCTGCTTCTCAATCTCTAGCTCTGAGGTATCTCTCTTATCAGAAATCCCACTTCAAGGGTTACCTCGAGCCTTACTCTGGGCACATGTGGAGTCAGTTGCTTCTTTTTGTACTTTAATCAACCCTTTCATTGTGCAGGTTCAGTATTACCTCAACTTCTGCTTTTCTCTCCAGCGCAAATAATACTATTAGGAGTTTTTCTTTGGCAGACCATTTATTTTGTTCTTGAGGCTTTCTGTGGGGCCACTACCCTTAGCCACCCAATGTTTCATTTTTTTGTAGGGAAGAGGGTGCTTGGGAGAGTGGTGCTGCTAATGGCAACAACTTGTCCAGCCATTAGAAATGCCTAACATTAGGGGCGCCTCGGTGGCTCAGTCAGTTAAGTGTCCGACTTCAGCTCAGGTCATGATCTCGCAGTCTGTGAGTTCGAGCCCCGCGTCAGGCTCTGTGCTGACATCTCAGAGCCTGGAGCCTGTTTTGGATTCTGTGTCTCCCTCTCTGGTCCTTCCCCTCTTGAACTCTGTCTCTTTCTCTCTCTCTCTCTCTCTCCAAAGTAGATAAACAAAACTAAAAAAAAAGAAAAGAAAAGAAATGCCTAACATGAATTAATAAACATGTTTCCAGGGTAAACCTCTCTTTATAACTGTTGATTCTGAGTTTGGAATTTGAATTTCTAGGATTTGTTGAGATCTTAGTCTTTTGGAAGCCCTTTTCTCTGTATGTGATTTGAGCTATGCATTTGGGTTTTGGCTTTTTTGTTTGTTTATTTGTTTTTGGTTTTTGTTTTGTTTTGCTTTGTTTTGTTTTTTGGTTTTTTTTGGATTCTCCATCAGTTCTCATTCATCTGCTCTTTATCATCTAGGAGCTTCTCAACATTTTTATTCTGCTAATTGTGGCCTATTTTTACAAGACTATTGTGGACTTCTTTTTTGTCACCTCAGTGTAATATTAAGATACTCACTCTTGGGGCACCTGGGTGGCGCAGTCGGTTAAGCGTCCGACTTCAGCTCAGGTCATGATCTCGCGGTCTGTGGGTTCGAGCCCCGAGTCGGGCTCTGGGCTGATGGCTCAGAGCCTGGAGCCTGTTTCCGATTCTGTGTCTCCCTCTCTCTCTGCCCCTCCCCCGTTCATGCTCTGTCTCTCTCTGTCCCAAAAAAAATAAATAAACGTTGAAAAAAAAAATTAAAAAAAAAAAACTCACTCTAATTGTTTTGATGAACATACATACTCGTAAGTCTAAAATCTACATTCCTGGCACAGTTCTCTCTCAGGAGTTCCAGGCCCATATTACTGAACACTACAAGAACAGCACCACAAATTAAACAAGGCAGTTTGTGTTTGTTATTGGTCCGCACTTTCCCATTCCAGCCTGTCTTACCAAGTACACCCCCATACCTGGTCAATTCAAGGATCCTGGTGGGTGCCTCCTTCCCCTCCTAAGTTTAGTCAGTCATCATGTGATTTACAATGAATTTCTCCCTTTGTGTTGATAACCATCCTAATCACTTTGCTTCTGATTTGCTGCAGCAGTTGTTTCTCTACCTAAAGTCTTGCTTATTTCTGATGGTGTTTAAAATCACAAAATCAGGTATTTTGCTCCCCATTGAAGTCCTTTAAATCCCTGAGGGTTGTAATCCTAAATCCTTATAGTACATGCCAAGCCCTTTGTTCTGGCTCCTGCCTTCCTCTTAAGAGCACACTTTTTACCACTGTCACCTGTTTTATATCCTCCACAAGGAGTTGTGTATAGTTTTCTGGAGCATGTCATATTTTCTCTGCATTTTCACTCCCCCCCCCCCGCCCCTTCCATTTGCTCCCAGAAATCTTCCCCGAGGTTTGGGTTGAATGCCTGTACTCTGTGCTCCCATGACTGGTTGTGCGTGCATCTGTTGTCATACTTATGGTTATCACTGTTGATACTGTCTTTCTTCCTAGTAGGCTGTAGCTTGTTAACCAGAAGAATTTCTATTTTCTTCTTTGTATCCCAGCACCTTTTAAAGTGGGTTACCAATTTGAATGCAAATTTAATTAAAGTACAATGAAGTAAAGTGAAATGAAATGTTATTTGTGACAAGGACACATTCATTGCCTATGCAAGGTTAGGGGGAGAACAGTTTTTTTGTTTGTTTGTTTAAAAGCCGAGACAAGAGGGGCGCCTGGGTGGCGCAGTCGGTTAAGCGTCCGACTTCAGCCAGGTCACGATCTCGTGGTCCGTGAGTTCGAGCCCCGCGTCAGGCTCTGGGCTGATGGCTCCGAGCCTGGAGCCTGTTTCCGATTCTGTGTCTCCCTCTCTCTCTGCCCCTCCCCTGTTCATGCTCTGTCTCTCTCTGTCCCAAAAATAAATAAAAAACGTTGAAAAAAAAATTAAAAAAAAAAAAAAAAAGATAAAAGCTGAGACAAGATTTCTGCCTTGTGTAGCTAAGCCTTCTCTCCTTCTGACATTAACCCAAAGGACATGACTATAAGGATGAGACTGAACCTTTTCCTAGTTACTGAATCTTCAAGCATTAGGCATTCTAGTTCCAAAATCTTGAAATCTACTCTTTGTATGTTCTTATCACTGAATTCTCTTTGTTCCCTAGGAGATTTGAATGAAAATTCTCTGGAGAATCTTCAAGAAAAAAGACTTAGGGATCTATTACGTAGGGGCTTTTCTGCTGGCTAATTTTAGAAGATATGGCCAGCACAATAACAGAGTCAGGATTGTATTGTGAATCTTCCAGGAGAAGGGTACAGGAATCCTGAACTAGATTGTTCCCTTTGTCAGAAGTAGGGAGAAGCATCTTCTGTATTTCCAGAAACAAGAGCAGTATGGTGACTCTTCAAAGTGATGATTATAAAAACATGGCAAGTGAAGAATATTTGTCTTTGAAAGTCCCAAGCCAAGTGGCCCCAAAGGGCTCCTCAGTGACTTTCTGCAAAAATGAGCCCCAGGATCCTCAGAAAAGTAAAAGTCTGTTTATAACTGAAGAAGGCACTGAGAGAAAAGTCTTGGGAGGAGAAAGTCCTCCCACGGACCATTGTTCAGAGAACCTTCAAATTAAACTTTTGTCTGATGTAACAGAACTGGTCTCGCCATTGGTCAGTGGCGAGGCGACTTGCCAGAATGGCCAGTTGAGAGAATCTTTGGATCACTTTGACTGTAACTGCGAAGACATTTGTGGTTGGAAATCACAAGTGGTCGGTTGTAGTCATCAGAGAGCTCATACAGAGGAGAAAGCCCGCAGCCATTACCACTGCAGGAAAAGACATAACAACAGCTCAGGCAGTAATCCGTGTGAGAAAATCCACACTGCAGAGAAGCTACACAGACGTAGTCAGTGTGGTAAGGACTTCAGCGAGCGCTCAGAACTACTACTTCATCAAAGACGCCACGCAGAAGAAAAGCCCTACAAATGTGAGCAGTGTGGGAAGGGCTTCACGAGGAGCTCCAGTCTCCTCATCCATCGAGCAGTCCACACGGATGAGAAACCCTATAAGTGTGACAAGTGCGGAAAAGGCTTCACAAGGAGTTCAAGTCTGCTCATTCATCACGCAGTCCATACAGGCGAGAAGCCTTATAAATGTGACAGGTGCGGGAAGGGCTTTAGTCAGAGCTCCAAACTGCACATTCATCAACGGGTGCACACTGGCGAGAAGCCCTATGAGTGTGGGGAGTGTGGTATGAGCTTCAGTCAGCGCTCCAACCTGCACATCCACCAGCGAGTCCACACTGGGGAGAGGCCCTACAAATGTGGGGAATGTGGGAAGGGCTTCAGTCAGAGTTCGAACCTTCACATTCACCGGTGCATACACACAGGTGAGAAGCCCTTCCAGTGCTACGAATGTGGGAAGGGCTTTAGCCAGAGCTCTGATCTCCGCATCCATCTCAGAGTCCACACTGGAGAGAAGCCCTATCACTGTGGCAAGTGTGGGAAGGGATTTAGCCAGAGCTCAAAACTCCTCATCCACCAGAGAGTGCATACTGGAGAGAAGCCCTATGAGTGCAGCAAGTGTGGGAAGGGCTTCAGCCAGAGCTCCAACCTGCACATCCACCAGCGGGTTCATAGGAAAGATCCTATTAAATAAGGTCTACTGGAAAGACTTAAACATTTTTAATATCACTCTTCCCTTTATATTCTCAGGAGAGAGATCATAGGTTATTCAGATATGTTCCCTCACTGAAATTTATTCATTCATTTAAAGTATTTAAGTACCAAGCACTTTGTCATGCTATTCAGAGAACCGATTGTTCTGGTTCCTCAGATGGGTAGAGTGAAATATCTGTACTTTGCAGTTCAGCCAGTGTTATTAGAACTGTATATCCTACCCCACATTTTTAAGTGCAAAAAACTTTATATTTGTGCAAGCAGAACATGTTTCCCTTTGTTCACATTCTGAGAAATTGAAACTCTGGTTTCTCTTCAAATCATGTGCCTTGTGTTTTTCCTATTTCCTTCCAGCCTTGATGAGCTCTCTCTGAACTGTGATTGCACGTGTTAGTTTTAGGTCAAGGGAGTGTTGGGAGATACTATGGGCATGAAATCTCTTGTGTTCATGAAAAAAAATATACCAACAGTGTGTGGCCACGTGGCAGGTGGTAGAGAGGAGCTACTTGTGTGGTACACCCCATACACTGTTTTACAGAATATTGAACCCACCCCCCTAAGGCAGCTGCCTAGGAACAGAAGTAGTTCTTTTTCCTGGGTGCGGCTGGTCTATTGGGGTTCTTCCAGATCTCACCACTTCAGATGACCCCCCGCCACCAAACTAAAGCCAAATAGGGTACATATACCATGTTGAAACATAGCAGAAATGAAATATATCTAAATGTATTTAATTCCTCACTACCTCATTTCCTTAATTTTCTTCAGCACTCATGTCTGCGCTAAGCAAAACAAAGGAGTCCAGAGAGAAAATTTCTAGTATTTTTCTCTTTGGGCTTATCTCTTGTTTTAATATTTGCTGTACCCCCCAAAAGCCATTTGTTTTCACAGAATCCCCAGCCTGTTTAGGTCTCACTATAGATCTAGAAGTCTGATTTATAAAATTATTCTTATATTTGGCTGAAAGTACTTCACATAAAAATAGCTATATGGGGCACCTGGGTGGCTCAGTTGGTTAAGCCTCCGACTCCACTCAGGTCATGATCTCACATTTTGTGAGTTTGAACCCCATGAGAGGCTGTGTGCTGACTGCTCCGAGCCTGGAGCCTGTTTTCAGATTCTGTGTCTCCCTCTCTCTCTCTGCCCCTCCCTGCTCACACTCTGTCTCTCTCAAAAATAAATAAATGTGAAAAAAAATAGCTATATAAAAACATTTTAACCTATTTGGAGAGTATGTTTGGGATGACCAGGCTTAAAATATGCAATGTATCACATATAATTCACTTGCAGTGTGAAGCTAGGACACTTCAAAGAGACATTTGTCCCCTAGAAATTGATACAAGAAGCGGAAGCAACAGTTGAAAGAGAAGTGATTATGTACATAACTAAATTGAAATTTACTATACAATGAGCAGCCCTCATTTTCTCACTAATGGTTAATGATTCCTCAAGCAGTTCTCAGGTGGTTACCTAGTGTTTCATATCCCAGTTTTCCACCAATAACTTGTATCCATATATGAAAAATATGGATGCTTATTAGCTTGAGAACATGGGGTTATAACTAATATATCCTGACCAAGGTAAGCTGAAGTAGTTAACTGGACATAGATAACAGGAAAAGTATACATTAATTTTGGGGAAACAGCTCATCTCTATTAAGGAATAAAGAAGAGAGATTAAGACATTTGCCTTTAAGAGATAGTTCCAGAATATTTGACTCCACCCTTGAGTAAGCGTTCCATATGCAATGATTAGGGTGATGATTAAGCATCTGCCCTTTAGCCATTCCATAATGTCTCACTTGTTTGGGTACTCTAAGGCAACATCACAAATGATGTGATTCTGTTTCACCAATCTCTAGAATAATGAATGAATGCCTCTCATTCCTTCTACCCTCAGAGATCATACCTGAGTATCTATTCAGGATTTCACTCTTTGTCACATATGTCTTCTAACTCCCTGATATATGGAATCTAATTGGGGTTTGGAGCCAAATATGATCACAAGAACCTGTGTGTTTTGAGGATAGAGGGAGGTCGGAAGTCCAAATCTCAAATGGTTATAAAATAGCTTATTTTTCCAAATTTCCTTTTATACATAACTTATGATATCAATTTTTTTAACTATGTTTAGTTTTTACTATTTTCTTTTAAGCATCATCTTCCTTAATACAATTGAAATATGATCAGAGTCCTTGCGAAGCATTTCACGGATTATGGGAAAGAAGTTTGTGGAAAAGAGGGATTTACACGTGAAAATACAGGGGGAACAACAGGGGATATGTCACATTTCATCAGATCTTAAGAAACCATTGATTGTGAAAAAAGCACTTTGCTAAGATACATCCCAATTTCATGAAAAAAATATATGTGTGCTTTAGGATTGTTGAAGAAGAGTTTTTTTCAGAGTTCAAGGGTTGCCCTAGGCTTGATACTTGATTTGAACAAAGACCTTTGGCTATTCTCAGTAATCATCAGTTATATTCAATTGATAATTCTGTCACTATATAGGTTACAGATTATTTGTTGAGTACTTGGAACACTTTTACAATTCTTAAAATTCTTACCTATTCATTGGGTGCTGTTCCTTCTGTATGGGTTGTTTAATATCTTAAAGTCAAAATACTAGTGAATATGTGATCACTACTTGTCACATTTCCAAATTATAATGTTTAACTTTTTTAAGATTTTATTTTTAAGTAATCTCTACAACAAACATGAGGCTCAAATTCCCAACCCCGAGATCAAGAGTTGCATTTTCTACCAACTGAGCCAGCCGGGCACCCCTGATATTTTAATTTTTCCTTCCCACCCCCCACCCTGACAGCCAGAGTTAGGGGATAGAACGAAATAGGGAAATTCCCATGGCTTTCCCATTGTACTTTCATTGATGAGAAAGCATCATGACTGGTCATGGAGTACAAGACTATACCCTAGGTAATGAAAGCCAACAAAAGTTCAAAGCAATATGCCCAAAGAAGTTGCAAGAGTAAAACTGGCACCAGATTGGTACCTGAAGGCAGGTAATAACAGCAAGTAGGTTCAAGAGTTAGATCTGGGAAAAGCTAATACATAGGAACATGTGGCAAGGGCCACAGAAATGTCAGCGTATGGTCAACCCAAGCAAAATGACTAGCAGAGAAAAGGCTAGAAAATGCGCTTTTTGTTAAACATCTCTCTGGACAGCATTAAAATGCTAAAAAGAAATTTTTTACATTTATAAAACCACAGCAATAAAGGACAGGAGGAAGACCATAACAAACAAATCTCAACAAAAATTTGAAAGATGGAAGGGGGGTGGCTATTGTATCAGAGCAGAAACAGGCACCATTTAAACTGCTTGCATATGAAGATAAGGACAAAAAGTAACCAGTTTGGCTCCAGTCTCAGAAATGCTTAATACTGTGGAAGACAGGAGTGAGACATGAAGGGAAAGCAGTGAAGTTAATGGCCAAGTGTATATGGAACATTCACTTAACCCCATACACCCATGCCCTCCTCTCCAACCCCTGTGCCTTTGCCAACCAGACATTTACCCTCCAGCAAGAGGTGGGGAGTTCTTTGCAGAAATTGGCCCGGAGGGAGAGACCTGTATTCTGGCATTTGAGAATCCAACAGTAAAACAGTTATCTTCTATCTCCAATACTTATAGCTTCAAAATGCACGAAATAAAAACTGATAAAATTGGGGCACGTGGGTGGCTCAGTCGGTTAAGTGTCTGACTTTGGCTCAGGTCATGATCTCACGACTCATGAGTTCAAGCCCCGCATTGGGCTCTATGCTGACAGCTCAGAGCTTGGAGCCTGTTTTGGATTCTGTAACTCCCTCTCTCTCTGCCGCGCGGGGGCGCGGAGCCCCCCCCCCCACACACACACACACTCGTGCTCTGTCTCTCTCTCTCTCAAAAATAAAATAAAAACATTGAAAAAAATTTTTTGAATGATAAAATTGAAGGGTGCGTGGCTGACTCAGCCAGTGGAGCATGCGACACTTGATCTCAGAGTTGTGAGTTTGAGCCCTGTGTTGGGCTCGGAACCTACTTAAAAAAAAAAAAAAATCTGATAAAATTGAAATAAATGTAGACAAGTATGGTTATTTCAAGTATTTCAACACTTAAGTGATACCACAAATAGAAAATCAGTTAAGGCTGCTTAACTGAGTTACCCAGGTGAAGGGCAATCCAGCTGTAAACAAAGGCACGCTGAAACTCTGCAAAATGTTCTTATGTTAGCTACTTGACTATTAAGATTCTCTTAAAGTTTTAAACTGTCAAAAAAACAATCAGTTAAGGGTAAAAAAGACCATCAACTAATTTGATTAAATGACATACATAGAACACCACCCAACAACAGCATAATGTACATTCTTTTCAGGTGCAAATATTGTGAGCTATAAAACGAGTTTCAAATGATTTAAAAGAATGGAAACTATACAAGGTACGTATAACCAGAAAATAATTAAATTAAAAATCACTAACAGATATCTGAAGAACCCCAGATATTTGGAAATTAAGTCACCCTCCTAAATGAGCCATGAAGAGGAGATAAAAAGGAAAATTTGAAAATATTTTGAACTGAAAGTATATACCGAAATATTTGGACCTACTAAAGCAGTGTGGAATTTTAAACTTTATGCCAATAAATTCAACAACTTAGGTGAAATGTCAAAACTCCTTGACAAGCAAAAACTACCAAAACTCACTCAAGAAGAAAAGAAATGTGAGTAGCCCTAAAAGTTGAATTTGTAGCTGACAACCTTCCCCCACAAAAAAAAAAAAAGTGCAGACCCAGATGGCACAAATGAATTCTACAAATATTTAAGGGAGACAGAGCAACAATTCTATACAAATTCTCTTCTAGGAAGAAACACTTAACAACCCATTTGTGAGCCAACATTACCCACGTACCAAAGCCAGGAAAAGACCTCACAAGAAAAGAAAATCATACATCAACATCTCTCATGAATACAGATGCAAAAATTCTTTTAAAAAATAGCAAATTGAAACTGCTATCTATAAAAGATGGTAATACCTCATAGAGTTTATCCTAGGAATGCAAGTTTGCTGTATCATTCAGAATCAATGTATTTCATCATACTGACATACTAAAAAAGAAAAACCCTATCTTATTTAAATGCAGAAAAAGTATTTGAAAAACATCAACATTCATGATTAAAAACTCTCAATTGGTAAGGAATTAAAGGGATCATCCCCAGTCTAACAAAGAGTGTCTATGGAAGAACCAGCACCTGACATATTTAATGGTGAAATAAAAAGCAGTTTCCTTCTAAAACTAGGAAGAAGGCAAAGATATCTACTCCCCTCT